CCCTGTGTGCCGCGCAGATAACATCCATGACAAAGACGATTTAGATGCTGTAGGCTTCAGCTGCATCTTATTAGTCCCCAGTGGGCAGGATTACAGCGCTGTGGCCTCTGTGGCCCAGAATAGATGATAAAAAACGGACTAAATGAAATAAACATTCAATATGAAAGGCTCAAAGTCGCCTGTAGATACAGCTGTCAAAGTTCTCCAAAGTAAGTTCACTCAAAACTCTTTGAAAGAAGAGAGTGGAACAAACTCCCAGAAACCTGCATGTCCGCTCCAACTCTTACTACTTTTAAATCCAGGCTGAAGACTTTTCTTTTTGCCGCTGCTTTTAATTTAACTATTCATATCTTACACTGCACTCTAACTAGCTTGTGGATAATTGAAATGCAGGATTACAGCGCTGTTGCCCGCTGTGGCCCAGAAAAGCTGATAAAAACGGACTTATTAATCAAATAAACATTCAATACGAAAGACTCAAAGCTGCCAGTAGATACAGCTGTCAAAGTTCTCAAAGTAAGAACAATCCACCCAAAGCTCTTCAAAGCTTCAGTCTTCTACTTTTAGTTTGGTGCTCAGTGGAGACGGTGAAAACTATAATTGTTGCTATTATAAGCATAAAGGTGAGAGGTGGTGTAGTCTATGATTGTGCAATTACCCCATTGTATAAGAGTATACTTTCTAGCTTGTGGACATTTGAAATGCCAATCGAGCCCAGAATAGAAACTACAAAAATATATAAAAAAAGTCATGTCTGTCATTCTCATAATACAGCTCCTTAAATCCCCCTATATTCAGAGATGTGAGGAAAGATGTGCACCGCTCTCTGTCCTCGTAAATGCTTCTTCCTCCCTCCCTGAGGCACTGTATCATATTACTAATCAGATTATCTCCCGTCTTTAAGAAACTTGTCACCATCCCCTAAACTCCTCATTGAACGGACCGGATAACACGGGCTTGCGTTCGGGTCTTTTGTCCTCGTGACAAGAACCTAAGCGTCATGTGAGTCTGTTGATGGACGGTGAATGGTCCTAAATCCCTGGTTTCCATCTCTTTGTATTTGGATTCCAGGTGCCTCATGTAGAGTCCAATCTGCACCTCATCCTCGGATAACAGCTTTTGATTCAGACGAACAACCGGCATGACTTAATAGATACAAATGGATAAGGTACAGTGATCTGTGAACAACAGGGATTAGAACGACAGGCGATGAATGAACCGCAGCAATGCCACAAAACGTAACAATAAAACAATCAAGTAGTACTTTCTTCTGGTACCCCTAATTAGGGCTGCTCTTTTAATCGCGATTACGATTATGGCTTCCAACGATTACGAAAAAAACGTAATCGAAAAAAAACAATTATTATTATTATTTTTTTTTTTTTCTTCACTTGAATTATACTTAAAGTTCAGGGTGATCAACTGTTAAAAACATACTGTTCACATTTTGTTTCTCCAATAAATGGATGTTTTCAAAGTCAATGAATAATCGCATTTAATAATCGCAATTACAATTAGTGACCCAAATAATCGAGATTATGATTTTTGCCATAATCGAGCAGCCCTACCCCTAATCTAACAAATACAACTGTTGATTATTCTAGTGTTTCAGTAGAGGGACTTGGGACAATTTCAGAAAAAAGGGCAATCAAAAAGGGGCTAAATGTTTGTGGAGAGATCGTAAGAAAAACAGTTATCATACACAAATCTAGAAGAATTAAAAACAAAGTGTCTTTTGGGATTGTCTTTCGATTTAAATCAGCAATTACAAGGAGCAGCCTGTTTCTCAGTTCTTGTTATCTTTTGTATACATTTTATTTCGTGCATCCCTGAATGTTAACTATCACAACGGGAATATAATGTATGAGCAAAAGTTGCCTATTTCCAATAAACAATAATATATGATGATTTCATTCTTTCACACCTGCGAAGTGTTTTTAAGCTCAAGTACCACGGTGGATATATGACCAACATGTGTGCCATTTCTCCAGCACATTGAACTCTTTTACGATACATGGATGGGTAGCAATTTCTTCCAACAAGTTTTAAATTAAAAGCAAAGAACTGTAACAAAAACGCAACTGGAGATGAGTTACTTTCTTTAAATGCTTGCTAAGACTTAGATTTAGCATAAAGTACAACAACAACCGAAAGAAAATAAGTCTGGCTCTCTAGTTTCGACTCCTTCAAACCAAGTAAACAAACAGTATGAACTCCATCAGAAAGCTCTCCTTCAAAAACTGATTCCCAAGTCTTGAGACAATGTTTACATTCACACAGGAAACCAGATTACTGTGAGTAATTGAGTTTCTACACCCATGCCCTATTCCTCCAGTAGCTGGAAAACATAACAATGGGGGGCCATTTTGGTGAGCATGACGATACTAATTACAGCTTATTATGATGACGATGTGTTGAGAGTGGCACCTTTAGAGTTCTAGATTCTCTTTCTGGGATATTGAAAGTGCAATCCGTTAGAACAGGAGGACAGCTGAAGGCAAAGCAGACGTTGTTTTTATAACTATTGTAGAGAATTGCTTAGCATTTACACCTTCATGCCAATCTAGATCCCTCCGCTTGGTGTCGGGCTCCTGATCAGCCTGTCGGTGTTCCTTTTCCCCATAATGACCAAGTCGCTGCACATTATCCCGCTTATCACACGGCCACATTCTCAACAAAGTAACGATATGACTCCCGATATTAATTGAAATGCTTTTGTGGATTTAGAAAATGATTTTATTGATTTTAAAAATAGTTGTATGCAGGGGCGGACCTAGCACATTTGGTGCCCTAGGCGAGCTTCACCACTGCGCCCCCCCCAAAAAAAATATCAAAACATCTTAACAGTTACACAGTAAAGTACTGCAGCTTTATTTATTACAAGCAAGAACTTGTTCTTGCTTGTAATAAATAAAGCTGCAGTACTTTACTGTGTAACTGTTAAGATGTTTTGATATTTTTTTTGGGGGGGGCGCAGTGGTGAAGCTCGCCTAGNTGTGTGTGTGTGTGTGTGTGTGTGTGTGTGTGTGTGTGTGTGTGTGTGTGTGTGTGTGTGTGTGTGTGTGTGTGCGTGTGCGTGTGCGTGTGAAGCTGCTGTCTAATTGTTAGATCTTCTGGCCTCGGGCGCTTGATGACACTCTGAATCACAACAATGCAACATCTCCTCTCTTTTCTCCGGGCCTCCAATAACATTCAAATCACACAGACTAGACGGGGATCATTAATTCCTGAAAAGGAAGACGTCACGGGAGGTGAACAGAAGCTCGTTCGCTTCTGCCTGAAGCTCAAATGTGTCTGTGATCTAAAAACCGAATTGCTAAAAAGTACAATGAAGGAGTTTGATGTGTTGCATCCCAAATGGTCTGTTCCTGCTTCATCATCTTCAGAGGAGACGTTTATCTAGAAAGCATCGGGGACGGCCATTTTAGTGACGTGGATGTAGAGCTGGGACTGAGTTAGTACACACAGTTTATCCAAATAGTTTTTTATGAACAACATACACTTGAAATCCAGACACCCAGACCTTTCAAGTATTACTAGTCATCAACAATTCAAAACTAAAGTAAAAACAATTAGATTACTCCAGCTAACAAGTATTGGATATTCCCAGTATTACTTATATATGCATTTACTTTTTTCTTGCCCTAACTTTTGTTTAATTTTTTCCAGTTGTCATTAGTTTTCTTTGTTTCTTTGTACTCCTTAATTTCTATACGTTTGACGAAATAAATGCCATCACTATATTGATGCTAATGATGATGCACGGGAGGACTACTCCCTATAAGCTATGCTTCAGCCCTTCCGCTTCTATTAATTTTGTTCATTTGTGTGTATGAATTATACGTTTTTGTTTTTGTATGATTTTAGTAGAATAAAAAAAAAAAAAAAAAAAAAAATGATATCATTGATGTTAAAAGCAAGTTGTTAGAGTTTGCCCATTGAGGAGTTCTTGATTTTTGTACGAAGAAGTAGTCCTGGAGTTGTTGCGTTGCTACGATCGAAGGAGGAAGATGTTATTGCCTCGCTGTGACCAGAGGAAGTAGTCCTGGAGTTGTTCTCTAAGTTAAAGGTGGGGTAGGTCATTTATTTCAGAAAAAGTTTTTGTTATATTCCATGGAATGCTCTTAACATCCCGATAGCAATGAGTATATGAAGTGTTTTGACAATAAATACATAAAAAAATATCATCTGTTGAAGCCGTGGCGCTGTAAAAAGCACGGCCAATCATCTGAGCCGGCCCGGCTAAAGTAACTGGATGGCCTACCTGCCTGTCAGCCTTCCATCTGTGCACAAACTTATCTCGTGCCCTCATTGGTCATGTGCGTGTTCCTGTGTGTTGGAGGAGGGGCTCTGTGAGGAAGTCTGAAGGAAGAGGCAGATTTATTTTGGCTGCCTACTTTCAAATTCTTACCTACCCTACCTTTAAGAGGTAGAAAGAGTTCTCGAGTTCTTGCTTGACTATAAATGGAGTATTGACAAGAAAAGTTTTTGCTTTGCTACGATTGTAGGAAGTTCTGGAGTTGTTGTGTTACCGTGATCGGAAAAGAAGAGGTAGTCCTGGAGTTGTTGCTTTTCTACGATCCAAGGAAGAAAAGGTTATATCGTTGCTTTGATCAGAGGAAGTAGTCCTGGAGTTGTTGCTTTGCTATGAATGGAGTATTGATGAGAAGAGGACAAAGACCAAGATCAAGAAGAAAGAATAATAATAATACGATTGGTTTGGCTATGATTGTACGAAGAAGTAGTCCTGGAGTTGTTGCGTGCTACGATCGAAGGAAGAAGATGTTATTGCCTCGCTGTGATCAGAGGAAGTAGTTCTGGAGTTGTTGCTTTGCTATAAATGGAGTATTGACAAGAAGAGGAAGATGACCACGATGAAAAAGAAATAAGAATAAGACTTATTGCTTGGCTATGATTGTAGGAAGAAAATGTTATTGTGTTGCTGTGATCAGATCAGATTTCTTGTCTTGATATGATTGGAGGAACAAGACATTCTGGAGATGTTGCTTTGATTTGAAGCACAATAAACTATGCAATATATTTGGTAAAAATAGTTAACACACTATCAGAAGCACACACATGTAGTCTCAGGCACAATGTGTTTTAATGGAGGTAGAGGAAACACACATCACTTGTCCCCTTCTTCCCTCAGGGTGTTCAACAGGTGTGACATTGGGCTGAACTCCAGATTCTTCAGCTGCTCCCCTCTGACGCTGTGTGGTCTGGAGGCGGATGGCAGGGTGACACAGCCCACTTCCTGCACTTTGTTTTCTGAAAGCACAATCACAAAAGCATTTTACATGTACTGCTCTCTGAGGCTTAAAATCTGCAGGGTTTGGACAGCATGTTTTTTAAATATAGCAAATAAGACCCAGCTGAGTATAAGCCATGTGCTACTTTGAGTTTGAGTAAATATTGAATGATGGGCATTAATACTTTAGAGACATGTTGGTGCAATGCAACTCATCAAGGAGCGGAAACAAACCCTCGGCACAAGCATCATGGCTTTGAAAGAACAGCATACAGCTTTGATGTATCATCACAACACGGACACATGGTAACGCTTCAGCAGACAACCACCAATCAGAAGGGAATGCAGCTGCGCTCTGATCTGGGGAGGCAAAACAAAAACAAGTTTAACGAAACTCGTCATTGTTTCAACGTCGCAATGCTAGAGTATAATCATATCTGACTATGTTTTATTACACATTGAAGTTAGATCTTGATCTCCGTGTACCCAATATGTCACAGAGCAACAGAAAGATGCATGTGTCGAAACTGGTTGTTGAAGTGGTGGAGGACCATCCATCGTACTGACCAAAGAACATCATCTAGGCTCATGAGCTAGCTAAAAACAAACCAAAATCAAGATGTTAAATCTCTAAATGTAAGTCCTGATTGTTTTCTTTCTGACCAGGTTCCTTCAATGTGCTTTTGATAGTGGGGAGACCTTTTTGGTTTACATTTAAATCATGGATTCTAAAAAAGATTGTATCTCATTGTACAGTGTGTACGCTTGTTAGTGAAGACCTACGAGGTGTAATGCAAGGATGATGTTGAGACGGGGCCGGAGCACTTGAAAGCGTTCCAAACTCTGTGTCAAGGTTGAGTGAGGCAAGCAGGACCCAAATGCAGATAAACAGAAAATACCTTTATTTCAAGGCTGCTGATCCAGAGCTGAACTCTCTTCCCCGTAAACACAGTCAAACAACAACAAGGAACTCACAAAGACTAACAGAAAACACAGAACCTAAATGCACACAGGACTAATCAAACAAACAAGAGACAGGTGAGGAGGGAGGAGAAAACACAGGGGCACCAGGTGAACACAATCGGGTAATCAGGTAGGAGGGAAAACAGACGGAAAGCAACAGGCAAGACAGGGGGGTGAACACTTTTCAATAAAACAGGAAACCAAAGACAAGACAAGACAAAACACAACACAGACAGATCGTGAAACTCTGGCTTCAAATGCATTTTTTATTTTACTTTTAGTTACGTTTCTGGTTCAGGCTTTCTTCAACAATGCCTTTGTTGTTCTGTGAGTGAAGAAATAAGGATTGTTATGGTTAAAATATGAACAAGTATACATTCTGCCTAAGGCTAGAGTCATATTTTGATTTGGAAATGAAGTTGAACTCGCCGATGATGTGCTCCTTTTGCTTTCCATGTCCCAACTCCCTAGTATTCAACAATGCATCCATTAAAAGAGTCTGAACACATGAATGCTGCTTGTAAGTGTCACGGTGCTCAGACTCTGAGATGCACTCATTACTCATGTTGCCACTTGATGTCCTTTTGAGGTAAATATAAATTATCTTAGCCAACTGAACAAAACACTAATGCTGTGATTTTACTTGTGAGGACAGTATTTTATCTTTCAAGGATGAGAAGCATAAGCAACGTTTGTATTCGCTCCATTTCACTCTCTTATATGAAGGATATGCGCCAGGCGGTGACATTTTTAGAGTGTAACTTCAGTTAGGACGGTAGATCAAGCTCTCACCTGTGATCACAAATACAGAGCAGTTATAATGCTTGTTGATACGCTCATGACCCTGGGTGTATTAAATCAGTCAGCAAGAGGCTTTGTTCCTCAGCTACACACAGCTCACTGCTTTGCTACTGACACACACTCAACGCAAAACGGTGCAGAACACATCTGGTCAGGTGTAATTCTATTTTCTGATTAATAATGCCAGCAAATTGACCTCCACTCTGTGTTGTTTTCATAATTGCATGGGCAGGATTTCGACCATCGTAATGGAGGTGGTGATGGAGCGAGTGATTAAAAAGCAAATAACATAAAAGTGGATTCAGTACCTTGATGTGCTGATAATTGAGATGTTCCCATTTGCGGTCATTTTGGGGTGTTAGGAGGTTTAATGGACTGGCATTAAATGGCCACAGGATATGGCTCATAAGCCACCGGCCAAGCCTCCAATGATCAATGAGGAACAAGGCAGCACAGGCCCATTAGTGGATCACTGCAGGTTCAAGCTACTGTGAAACACACACACACACACACACACACACACACACACACACACACACACACACACACACACACACACACACACACACACATTCACACATGCCCTGCCCCACCAATGGCCGACTGTGCTTACTGCTCTGTCAGATTAATCGATAGCTGCTGATTTGAGAGCAACACTGCACTGATCATCCTCCATCCACACACTCACACTCACACACACACACACACGCACACGCACACGCACACGCACACACACACACACACCCACCCCTTACAGCCTGTAAGCACCCTGGAGAGTGTTTGAAAGCCGTGGAAATGAGCTCTGGATTATAGTTGCTTCTGGATTCTGTGCACGTACGGAAATGCCTCGTCTGGTCGCTGCCTGAAAAGACACCTTGACATTTTGAATTTCCGCGCTGTGAGTGAGGATCGCTAACAAAAGCTAATAAGTGAATTATGGAATCATCCAAAACTTTCCCCGCAGGACCAACGGAAATTCAAAATAGCAAGCTATTACTTGAAGAGCTCTTGAGCTTGATTGCCGTCTGAGTTCTTTCCCACGTTATACCTGCGCTTCATTATAACCTATTAAAAACCTTTGATTTCCTCTGGTGATACAGCCAATCCCAGGCTCAATATGATAGATGGATATGAGCATTGGCGGCTTTATATACCGTATATTTTAATTGCTGTTCCTTCTTCTTCTACGTCTTCATCCTGCAGCTATTTAATATATAAGAAACAGTAATTGCATTTCCCTTCTAACTACTTAATGTTTTTCTAAAGTCTTATTCCCCTGAAATGGGTATGTGTTGGCGCACTTCTCGGACATTATCTAAAAGTTGGCCAAATGTTGCGTCCCTTCCCAATTCAGACACATATCCCTCTTTTTGCTGCCATCGCGTTTTCCCACTATCATTCGTACAACTTTATTGGGAAAATACCAACCTTACCAGCAGTAATCTGAACTGGACTTGCTCCCTGGGGTCTGGCTTAAAGGTCCCATGTCATGGCCATTTCTACTGAGCATAAATCCACTGTTGAGGTTACTAGAATACTTCTACAGCTGGGCGTCGTGTGCAGGTGTTCGTAAACTCAACTTGGTCTTTCTCCGAAACTGAGGGCCATCTCTGGGGTACTAGTTATGTGTACTCGACGGTTCTGTCCTACTGTGGCGTGTAATTGGAGCTCCTGCCCCAGCCCCCCCCCGTGAGGGCCCACT